CCAGCTGATGCCTCTTCCAATCCCCAGGTGCCTTCCATGTGTAAATTCTTCTCTTTGGCTTCTTGAACCAAGTGTTGGTGACAATCAGTCCATTTCGTTCACAAAAGTCAATAAGCATTTGACCCCTGTGATTCCGTCCTTCTAGTCCATGTGGTCCAACAATATTCTGATATGGTTCATCTCCTACAATGCTATTCCAGTCTCCCAGTATGATGCTGTTTGTGTTACCTCTTCCATCTTCCTGAAGAATTTCTTCAATTGCGTCATACACTTTTTCCGCTTCATCATCTTCATACTCTGATGTTGGCATGTACACTTGCATAATAAGTATATCTACCGGTTCCGCCTTTAACTTCAGAGCAATTATTCTGTCATTACAAACAATCTTCTTAACAACACTCCTCACTACACTTTTATGCACCACTATTGCCACACCTCTTTCAGCCCATTCACCTCCAGAATAATACACTGTATAATCACCACTTCTTATTTCACCTTGTCCTTTCCATTGCACTTTGGTGACACCTAGAACAGACCTTACATTCCATGTTCCAATCTTGTAGCCATGATGTTCCTTCTGATCTTTGCACTTTTTCTTGTTGTAATGCCTGTATGACATTTCCTCTAGAAACACTCCCCCCCCCNGAGATCCAATTGGGGGAGTAGTTTACCTCCGGATTGTTTTGCCTCCAGAGGAAACATCTCGCATATATGGTATCTCTGTTTTTGGAAAGAGACTATCCAGGAAAAGTGATAATGTGGTAGTTTTTCCATTTGCTTTCCACATCACAGTACAGTAGCCGTCAAACCACTCTGGTCACACCTGTTGCTATACGAACTTGAACCATCTCGAGCATCATTTGCTCTGTGCTTCAAGTCGCTACTGATGACGCTGCTTCCGGCATCAGTTTTTGGTGTCTCCCTTCGTCTGATGCCTACCCTTTGACCTGTCCAGCAAGGGAGGTCCTGCCAGTAGCTACGCTACCGCTGTACTTAAACCTTAATAATTTTTAGTGATACATAAATTACTTAAGTCTTAAACCTTATTATATTTATTAGGATCATTGCCTGATAGATCCCACACCTTCCCACATAGTGAGAACAGTACTGTGACATGTCAACTCATTGCCAGGCAATGGCTCAATAAACACCCTGCATTACATACATGCAACAATAGAACAACAGGGCTATTCAACCCGTTTCTAGGCAACGGCTCAGTAAACACACTCCCGTGTAGCCAGTGACATCACACAACAGTGGATAGAGACTACGTGACATATTTTCTGTAGGTCCACTCTGAAGGTTTTTGTGGGGCCACCAAGTTCACTTGCGGGCAGTCGTAAGCTAAAGGAGTGAGTAATAGATGGACCTCACTTGAGTTCTGAAGTTACAAGGGAAAACTAATGTGGCCTGAAGAAGATTTATAAGACTCAGTGTATAACATCACATGTGCTGTAGTACATTGATGTTGGGAGTGCGTAATTTAGTGAGACACTTATAGTTCCCATGTTGTGATCTTTTGCAGGAGACAACTAGTGAAGATGGAGAATCCAGGTGCGTGTAAACTATAAATTGTGTAAATACAGCAATAGTGCTGTACTAATTGTAAGTGAAGTGCTAATAAATCCAATCATTCACTATAAAACCCGTTATTTTCATCGCGTGTACTCCCATACATGTGGCAGTTTTAAAAAGCAATCTTTTATCATAGAAGTGTTTCTAATGCAGTGGGTTGGTTCTTGGCTCTAAATATGACTTAGGAGTTTTTGTGCCATCTGAGTGCAACATCGTTGACTATTCTTTCCTCATATTCATTTATTGAACACTAGATGTTTCGGCCTAACTGGCCATCTTGCTCCAATAGGAGAACAGAAAACTGCAGTGAGCAGCAAAATCCTTAACCATAACAACCTCTACACCTGAAGATGGCCAATTAGGCGAAACATATAGTGTCCAATAAAGG